GCTGTCTTTGTGGACGTAATGCTTCCAACAGAGTCGTTTTGAGGTGCTGATTTATTTTTCTTCTTCTAACCATTCTGATTTCTAACCAATGATTCCTCCCATTTTCTCTCTGACAAGAAAACCAGAACAAACCTTATCAACCGCTTTGCTTTAGTAGCCTAACTAGCTGGTCTTGAAAATGTTGGCCCATGTATTGCTTCCAGACAGAAACCTTGCAAGAGGGAAAGAATTCCTTGTTAAGGAGCAGAGGTGAATATCTGAAACTGTGGTGCATTACTGTGGTGTCCCAAAATCAAGGAAAATTCCAGAGTGATGACGTTAGACACCAATTCTTAGGCTGCACTTAATTAATGGAAGTGGTGGTCAACAATGAAGGAAAAAAAATGCCAAAATCTAGCAATTAATCAGGTCTTGAATATTATTCCTTAATGAGTCTGAACAGTGGACTTAATTATTGTACCATTCAAAACATTGTGCTGTCAGTATGCAACTTCCAAAATACAAGACTTGTTAGTTCATTGGGTGAGAACAATTTGTCTCGACTATTAATGATGGCCAATATAAGTGCAATTCTATATGTCTCTTAAGTTCCTTGGAGGTCATATTTGATTGTACCAAAAGGTCCTACTTTGCATTTGCCTTATTTAATAATTATGGCATTTCAGAAGACACCAAATATCAGTATTCGTTGGTAAATGATGTCCATAGAAGGGAATCAGGAGGGATGTGCAGAGGCCCCTTCCAGCCTTCGCCACCCTTCCCCTTCCAACCACACATCCCGTGTGCCAAGAGCGGACGGTGCTGTGGGGAACGGCAGCCGCCAGCTCTGCGTGGGGCGGCGCGGCGAGGCCCGGGCTCGCGCCTGCAGTGTGGCCGAGGCCGCCGGGGCCGCGCCGGTGCCGTGTGGGCCGATGCCACCGGGGTCATGTGGGCTGATGCCACCAGGGCCGTGTGGGCCGATGCCACGGGGGCCGTGTGGGCCGATGCCGCTGGGGCCGTGTGGGCCGATGCCGCCGGGGCGTGGGCCAATGCCACCAGGGCCGTGTGGGCCCATGCCGCCGGGGCCATGTGGGCCGATGCCGCCAGGGCCATGTGAGCCGATGCCGCCAGGGCCGTGTGGGCCGATGCCACTAGGGCCATGTGGGCCCATGCCACCAGGGCCGTGTGGGCCCATGCCGCCAGGGCCATGTGGGCCGATGCCACCAGGGCCGTGTGGGCCCATGCCGCCGGGGCCATGTGGGCCGATGCCACTAGGGCCATGTGGGCCGATGCCACCAGGGCCATGTGGGCCCATGCCGCCGGGGCCATGTGGGCCGATGCCACTAGTGCCATGTGGGCCCATGCCACCAGGGCCATGTGGGCCGATGCCACTAGTGCCATGTGGGCCGATGCCACCAGGGCCGTGTGGGCCCATGCCGCCGCCACTGGGGCCCCACGGGCCCCGCGGCCTGGCCGCCATGCAGCCCCGTGGCCCCGCATGACATGCGCACGGCGAGAAGCCTCGCGGGCCACTCCTGCGGGGACAGGGCTCGTCTTTAATGCCGTCTTTATCTGCTACGCCATGCATGAAATCTACTTGCTGTTTCAGAACCGCCGCTGGCCCCTGACCCCTCGCGTGGAGACACAATGTGACCTTTCCATTGTCACCCGCTTTCATTCTCCTGAAAATTCTATGAATTTTTATTACAAGTTTTTTTAGACCAAGCTGAGGCTTCAACAAATTACTTGACACAGATGAGATGAAGTTGTTGAAGTAGTGTTAGATAAGTTTTACAGCCAGCATGTGTGCTGCTGAACAGTACAAAGCCAGTGTCCTACAATGTCATACACCAGTAACTGCTGAGCCTACTATTGGATAAATACATCATTTTATGGAACATTGATTGTTCTATAAACCCAATGGAGTATTATGCTCTATGATCAAACCATTTAGATTGTGTGTAGAGCACAGAAAATGCCATATTCAGGATGGTACTAAAAGTGCCATTTGTGTATTTTATGGATGTCATTACGGGGGAAACTTCTCTCTGTAGGCCCTGTTTACTGCAAAATTTTTTAGTCTGTAATGACATTTTTCATTCACAACGTATGCCTTCAAGAGAGGGGGCCCTTGTTTTATTTGTTTCATTCGAGTTTACTGCACAAATCCTGTACATTTTAATTAAATGTAAGCTTAACAAAAGAATAAGGTATTTATTCTGTGGGGAGCAAATGGTGACAGTAACAAAAGAATAAAACAGACACACAAAAGAAAGTCAGGTAGTGAGCAAAAGAGAGGGAAAGAGGTACTAAACCCTATTTGTAGTTTCCCAGAAGCACGTTAAACATCAAAGCGTGTCTCTTAGCCCTATTTCGGGAGTTTGTGGTCTCCGAGAATTAGAATAACCTGCAAATGTGGATTTAATGTCTGAAAAATCTTGACATTTTCAAATAAAAAAGTAACAGCCGCTCCGGACTCCGACTGATAAATAATGGCTGTGCTGAAATGACAGACTTCTTGGAAAGAAACCAGTTCTGTGATCATTGCACCCCTAGATATGAAACACCTCTTTACAAATTGTCTGAATATGAGTTCTCATATCATTATATTTTGTCATTTTAATGCCTATTTGTGTATCTTCTTAATTTGCAATGACATGCAGTCAGCAACAAGTCCAGTTTTCCCAATATTAATGTGGGCTTGTATTGCAGCTTATGTATGCCATGTCAGCCAACACTTACCCCTTCTCTTTACTCGTTTTTAGGAAGGGGTGAGAGGCAGCCTGATTTTACTAGGGCAACTTGATTTGTTGCTACATACAGTCCAATAATGTGACATGTTCCTTAAATACATAAAAATTCCTATGAATGTTGTGTTGGATAGCAGTGCTTCATTATAGGCATGCACTGTTCCAAAGTCAAAATAGCAACTAAGCCTCAAAATATGTTGTTTTCTAAATATCTTCCCTGCTTGGCTCTTCACTGTTAAAACAAAAGAAAACCAGTAAAATCTGCAATTCATATTTACATGAAAAATCACTAAAATTGAAGTTGATGTTCCCAGTAAATTCTTGGTCATAGTCCAGTTAAAATTTAAAGTTACAGTAGATTCACATTAGTTTAAATGACACTTGAACTTCTACATAGCTCAACATTAATTCATTATAGTTGAAATGGAAGAATCTTCAGTGGGTGAATCTTTTACAATCTGATTGAGGCTGTTACATTTTATAGGAGCCATTTTTCAAAGCTGTACTGACAGCACTCGAAGTTATTAAATTGCTGAATCAAAAGATGGACCTGCAATCGCATTTATGAACTGTGATGGAATAGCTGGGCTTGCACGGAGCTGAGGTTAAGATGTTGGTGTAGTTAAGCTTCATCACACCCCTTAGTGACAGCAGTATTTACCCATGTAGTTTACTTTAATGGTCAGGAAGTGGCTTAACTCACCTCTGGATTCAAATAGATTAAGTAAGCAGTCAGAATGGCATAATTACCAGCGCTGCAAGGGATTCACTGGGTAGCTCTTCACTCAGGAGACTTCCCTTTCAATTGCAGAGCAGAGGCGGGAGTTGCACGCATTCCCARGTGCGGCGTTTATTCCAAGAGATGAGAACAGGGGGAATTCATTTTTCCTCCTTCTTCYGCAGACCGGGACTTCTCCAAAATGCAGTGATGCTGCGTCCAGTGATGCTGCAATAAATTATCATCATCACAGAAGAAAGATGTTATGATTTTGCAGGGTGCAAGTGAAAATTATGATTGCAGAGTTATTTTGATTTTGAAATCTCGTGGAAAATGCATGATTTGCAGAGTTATTTTGATTTTGTGCCACATCACTGCCACCCTCCTCTTTTATCATGTCAACAAAGCAAGATTCCTGGGAGAATTAATTACTTCTGCTCTATTATAAAGAGTGGAGGAGCCAAGATAATTGTCATTTTATGTTGATTTCCCCTTCCTATTTTTCTGCTCTTTGGGGGGTCTTGTGAATGTCAGCGCCTACAGAGAGCACAGGAAAAGTGGGGTAAGAACCGGTCGTACCACAGTCGGCTTCCTTAGAGCTTATGCCTGACAAAATGTACTTCAATCGCATGTGCCAGATTTCTCATGCAGTATCTCTTGGAAACACTCTAACRGTTTAAATTGTTAATTTTCTTTTCCAAAGATAACCTGCATTGCAAATGAAGATGGAGAAAGTTGCTTAACACCAGTTTAGACATCTAAAGATGATGTGCAGCCATAACAAAATCAGTTCTTCGGCTTCGTAGTACAGTTATCCAGCAGAAGCTTTGAAACAGAAGATAAATAAATAGGCAGATAGCTAAAGAGATGAATAAGTAGATGCCTGCAAGAGTCCAGTCTTCTTAAGGATTAGTTTTATGGTGGCATTTTAGCTTGGTTTACGCCTTAGCCTACCAAGCTGCAGGAGCTTGTGAGATGCCAGGTACTCAGTTTCAGTGTAASACAGCTCGTGAGTGTGAACTTCCCTTTAAGCAAATTGGACCTTCTGTTTTGCAGAGTCTAGTTTAATTCTCCGAGGGGTGAGGSTCTGACAGCTCTATGCTTTGGATGGAAGAGCTGTCTTGGAGCAGCTYTGGAATAATTTTCTTGGCCTCTTGAGTTCAGTACAGCGCCTGCTGTTCAWGAGAAGTGTCTTGGTGGCTTGGAAAGTACAGTGATAGCCTGAAACTTGGCCATAAAAGTAACACTGTTTTGCCCTAGACAAACACTGCTGTATCTATGTGTGTTAGTGATAAGATACGACATCTGTTATTCCAGAGGTGTGATTCAAATTTGTGTACGTAGGAGCAAGCTGGATTTACACTAAGGTATAGATGTGGGTATGCGCATGGGTAGGGCTGGTCTCAGCAGCAGGGACTTTCTCAGCCCTCCCAAGCCCTTTCTGTACCAGTGGAGTGTAAAAGTTGKCCAGGGTTACTTTTCCTTTTAAGCTGCAAGCGTTGTGAGCTGCTGTTTGCCATGATGCCCTGCTAACAGCGGATTTTATTTTGCAGGCATTGTATCCAAGTCCTACGAGTGTCGCCTGAAGGGGCAAGGAGCAACCTTTGTGGAAACCACGAGCCCTTTCACGGCGGCAGCACTGGGAGAGGTGTCTCCAGTCAAGGAGAAGGCCTTTCGGAGCAGCAGGAGGCAGCCGCAGTCACCCGAGCAAGTGCAGCAGGTCATTATCATCCAGGGCTACGACGGCGACTTTGCCATCGACGCCTCCATGGAGGAGACGGCCGCAGCGACCCTGCAGAGCCTGGCCATGGCCGGCCAGGTGGCCAGGGTGGTGCACATCACCGAGGACGGGCAAGTGATCGCCACGGAGCAGGGCGGCGCGGCGGCGGGCAGCGCCGTGCCCGGGCAGGTGCTCGCCGAGGGCACCACGCAGGTGGTGGTGGTGGAGAGCGCCCTGGCAGGCAGCGAGGCGGCCGCGGCCCTTCCCGTGGGCGCCGTTCCTGACGCCAGCAGCGCTGTGCTGCAGCAGATCATGAGGCAGGAGGTTTTGGAGGCGTCTGAGGCTGCRGGGCATCCTCCGGACTCCTCCTCAGCGCTGGACGCCCTGCTCTGTGCCGTAACGGAGCTGGGTGAAGCGGAAAGCAAGGCRGGACTCCTTGACAGAAGCAGGGCTGGTCACAAAGATTTCTTACAAATGCCAAATGCAGAGATGGGCAGTGTTCCCAGTGACACAGAGGGACAAGAAATACAGCTGTTCCATGGAGTTCAAGAGGCTCAGGAAGACGCCGAGCCCATGGAAGTAGTGACGCAGGTCGTGCACCCATCGGCTATAATTGCATCTCAGGAGAGAGCTCAGGCCGCCTTCAAGAAGATGGTGCAAGGAGTGCTGCAGTTCGCCGTGTGCGACACGGCCGCGGCCGACCAGCTCGTGACGGAGGGTGTCACTCAGGTCATCGTGAACGAGGAGGGCACCGTGCACATGGTAGCTAGGGAAGGCTCCCAGATCATCATGCAGGAAGCCGGCGGCCACGCGCTCCGCGTCCAGAGCGAGCACATGGATTTGGTCGAGTCGGATGGGGAGATATCGCAGATTATTGTCACGGAGGAGATCGCTCAGGCCATGGTGCAGGCGCCCGAGGGCGGCTTCCCCGACGGCGCCACCCACTACATCGTCACGGAGCTGCCGCCGGCGGTGCAGGGCGAGCCGGGCGCCTACTCGCACGCCGTGCTGGAGGCGGCCGCGGCGCCGGCCGCGCTGCCGGCCCTCAAGGCCAGAGCCCAGGGCGCCGAGCAGCTGGCCGGCATGGTCATCTACGCCGAGAGCGGCGCGGCCCGCGCCCGCGCGGGCGGCCACGGGCCCGAAGCCTGAGGCACCCGCGCGTGGCGCGGCCGTGGGGCCTGCAGCCGTGGGGCCTGCAGCCGTGGGGCCTGCTCGGCATGGGGCCTGCGGCCATGGGGCCTGCTCGGCCTGGGGCCTGCAGGCCGCACGCGCCACCATGAGCCGGGCCGGGCCGCGCCAACAGCCGGCCTCGTTCCGCCAGCGCTGGGAGTCGTGACAGGGGATGGCTTAAAAACAAGCATATAAGGGCACAAGAAAACAGCAAACACCCCCAACACCCCAGATAGGTAGCGTTGTGTTCACCGGCTTCCCTGTTTCTCCTAGGTTTTTTTTTTTTTACCTCAGGGAGATTCCCTGCCTTATGCCTTTTATTTTTTTTTTTTTTGTCTAACATAATCATAGGACTGAAACGCCTTCACTTTATGTTTTTATTTCATGAACAGATAAATAAGCAAAAAAAAAGCAGAAGCCATGTCATCGCAATAACGGGGCGATCAGGTAAACGTACATGTTGTAACCAGTGCCCTTGCATTGTCTGAGGAGAACAGGTGACATTTTGCTTCCTGAAATCGTACTTTAAAATGTCCCTTGTGAAAAATATGTCAGAAAAATAAGTATTCCCTACATCTAAAAATCAAATCRTTAATCGTAGCTTATTCCTTCATGGCTTCATTTAGGACTTTTCGTGCAGAAGAGCTCAAAAAAAGCTGCACTCCAGAAAATTCTTGATATACATATTCAGAAAAAAAAAACTTGATGCCTGTAACTTCCACTTAATTTTAAGTGAGAGTCCTGCATAAGAAGTGTTCATTTTTGGAAAAAAATATTGTCACTGTCAGTGTTTTGCTTTTCTTATAAATAGCGCTTCATATAAATACCATTTTGCAGTTCATTTTGTGAACGACTTTTGAAATGTTATGGGGGGTTTTAAAGAAAATTCTGACATTGACATTAACAAGTAGGAAAAAAAAAGGTGACCTTGTATTTCTTGCTTAGACCAGAATGTCAATTATTTAGTTGTGGATATACCACAATTGTTCAATGCAAGTTCATGTTGAAAACATTCGTTTCATGATACAACTGTTTTTGTTTCTTAAAAAAAAAATGTAAATATAAACTGGCAAGGTTTGGGGATTTTTTTCTTTTTTTTGGTCTTTCAAATAAAATGTTAGCATTGAAAAGAAGCATCATGATTTTTAATATTGAGCAATAAACAGAACTGGCATTCAGCAGGAGCAAACGAATGCTATCTGTTATGTCTGTGCATTTTCTCTTTGCCTTTCTCTCGCTAGCCAGATAGATAAAGATAAAAGAATCTAATTTCTGAAGTGTGCCTCATGCATGCTTAATATAACTGGGTAAGTGTTTAGGGTATAAACCACGCTGACTCTGGAGACAACCGCGGCTCCTATCCTGTTTAATATCTCTAAATTATCAACAGTAAGAAGGTTGGGGTGAGCGGAAGCGGCAGTTCCTTCTTCAAGCAGCTGTTTAAAAAGGCGTTTTCTGGTAGAGCTGCTTAGGAAAGGTGCTTCATTCTGGGGCGAAAAGATCCTGCTGTCTTTTCTTCTCTCTTTATTTTTTTTATTATTATTTTCTAGGAATTAAGGTTGTGTCTGTGTCAGACCCCCAAAAAAGTAAATTTCAAGTTAGACATCAGGGTTCATAATTAGCCGAGTTTGACTTGCTCATCTTTCTTAAAAGTGACAGCCTGTTCACTTACTCTTAAATACTGTCTTCAGCAAACAGTGACAGGACCAACTCCCGTTTGTTATCAGGATAAAGGTGACCTTTACAAAATGATGGCCCTCTGCAAGGCTCTCACAGATGTTCAAAAAAACGGAATGTTTTTCAGTGGAAATATTTCTTCTTGATCATTTCTCCTGTTAGCTGTAGCCCGGTGCTCTTGCAGCCTGGATGCTAATTCCTCGCCGTGCGCAGCCCTGTATGGCTAACCTTTCTGCTGCAGTACAGGGTGTTGACACTGACATGCTGCAGTTTACCATTTGTGATTTATTTAGGATAAATATGTCTCAGGTGGCATTTAATCCTTCATAAAACCAGTGTAGCCTGCAGTGTCAAACCAGCAATCACATTGTATGCACAATGAAAAGAGCAGACCTTTGCATAAAAAAAAAAAAAAAAAAAAAAAAAAGAAGACCTTTAAAAAAAAAAAAAAAAAAAAAAAAAACTGGAAGGTGCTCCCGTGCTTGGGAGTGTTGGGAAGGATTCACTAACCTCCCGTGTGCTGTAATTACCTGGAAGCTCAGGTTAACGATACGGCTCTGAGCGCAGTCTGCTCTGCTCGGGAGAGCTGCTTTATGTTTTTCCCAGGGTGTTTTTTTTCTTTCTTTCCTTTAATGCGCACTTTAAAGTTAACTTGTTAGTGCCCTACCAATGTAACACTGGACATCACGGATGGCATTCCTTCCGGGCGCTGTCCCAGCGGTGCTGAACAGCCCCAGGGAGACGCCGGGAGCCCGGCGTGCCGCAGACCCCACCAGGGCCCAGAGCTTCTCGCTGCTGAACCTGCCCCCGGTGTCTGCCTCCAGGTCGAGCCTGGGCTCCCAGCTCTGCCCCGCGCCCGGGGCTGGGCGGAGAGCATGTGGATGGATGCAGGGATCTGCCAACCCTCCTCCTCCCTCCACGCCCGGCAGGAGGTGAAGGGCAGGAGGCGGGAGGCAGGTGCTGGGGAGGGAGCAGCACCGGTCGGGCTCCGGCCGCCTCTCCGTGGGCCTGGGCTCGGCAGGCCGCGCACAGGCCGCTCCGGCGGCGCCGACCTGGCCTCCCGCACAAGCAGGTGCCCASCTTCCCTGGAAGCGGCGGTCCCAAGTGCGGCATTCCCACCTCAGGCAGTTGTCTTCCGACAGTCCGGCTGCCGGAGCCACTGGCTTTAATTTCCTCTGTGGTGCTCACTGTGATTAAGCGATACCGAGTTGAATCGTGACGCAAGCAATGCCAAGCAGGGAAAAATGGAAGTGTTTAGGAAGCATGGAACCTGTGTGCAGAGAAAACAAGACAAAACAGACCACCAAAACCAAATAAAAACAAAATAAAAGCAAAACCAGAGGAAGGAGAGATGTTTCAGATACACAGCTCCCGAGGTAGTGTCTTCAGGCCCCTGAAACCAGGCTGCATCTTTGGGGAGAAACAGAATATGAGAGAGAGCTGGAAACCATAGTTGGAGAAATATTCCCTATAACAAAACACCACAAAACAAAACCACCTTCGCACARCAAAACCCAACCAGGTGCCTGGAGCTACGTACCCTTCTGCCTGCACTTTGCCAGGGAGATTGGATGAGCCCAAGCCCATAGGCGATGCCCCAGGGGATGCACATGGGAATTGTGCRGGATGCTGCAAGCACTGCTGTCATTTATAAGCACGACTTTAACCCCGGGAATGTTAACAGGGAGGTCCGGGAAGAAATGTGGTTGTGACCTTGTGGATCCAGCGGGTGCAGGGGCTGCAGGAAACTCGGCGTGTGGAAGCTTTTTACACCTCATGCTAACCCTGAACTGAACCTGAGCTGGAAGTGCTGGCCAGAGCCGCCGGGAAGTCATGGGCGTCGAGAGGGGCCCAAGCCGCCCGTCCCGCCTCCGCAAGCAGCTCCTGGGCTTTCCTGCCAACAGTCCCTGCTCCACGGCATTCGCAAGCATGGAAGCAGTGAACAGAACAACAAGGAGAGAAGGATGCAGGCGAAAACCACTCCTGAAATCTGAAACAAAGTTAGTTCTAGTGGAGAATTAAGTAACAGGAAAAAAAAAAAAGAAAAAAAGAGTCATTCATTTGGTGAAATAAAAAAGAGATGGGAGTTTTCACTTATTTTACTGAGCAATATTAGCCCATAATTTAAGGTAGCGTGCAGCTCACTTAAACAGCCTACCCCTGTTCCATCTTGTTGAAGAATACAATTCGTTTTCTGCTCCTCTAGGGTGATATCATTTTATATGAAGAAAAAAGTTAGCTCAGATGGCAGTTATATGTTTCGGAAGCACCTTCTAATCAGAGATTGGTGATTCATTATTAGCTTCAGCAGGCGATCCATCTGACATGTAAGGGGAAAAAATTAGCAGCTGTCACTGCGTGATGAGTTAATTTCCTGATAGGCCTGACACTGAAAAGCCATTTGGAGACATGGAGATGGCTGATGAGAAAACCTGGTGCTGGTTTATAATTGGAGAGACAAAAAGGGCAGAGAGACGGAGGGAGCTGGGGGAGGGCCCGAGGCTCCGCCACAAGTGGGGCTGGATGTTTGTGTGTTTACCGAGGAGGCCGCTCCGCAACAACCCGCATTACGGCGCGTGCACACCTTGGCAGTTAAGTAATAAGGACCGGGGCCTCTCATTTTCCTTCTGCCGAGTGTCATCCGTTTTAGTCCTTTGTAATTAGTGCTGCAGACGGCTTCACACTTAGCGGCGCGCGGGCCTGCGGCGCACAAGCACGCGGTCGGGCTGTCGCGCGGTGACATTGAAACCTGACATTTCGGAGGAGAGGGGGGGAAATGACGCTATCCCTTTAATGGTTCTCGCTGCAATTTTCTTAATTGCAGCTTGAGGTTTCAATCAATCACAGGAAAATAAACTTATTTGAAACAAATATTGCTAAAACTTCCAAGGGCACAATTGCAAATGAGGGAAGGGTATTAAAAGACATCTCTTGTRGAGTACGAGGAAATATGCTCTTCAGAATATATAAGCACATGCATGTCTGTTTACCCTGTGTAAGAATGACAAGAAAAACTATGCAGAAAATAGGCCTGGAAGCCAAGTGGAGTCCACTGTGGAATTTGGCTTGTGTATGTAATAGGGACAGCAATGCAAAGTCTTTTAGATGTATTAAATAAAACTAATAGAAAGCCCTCAGCCAGACACTAACTAATGCCTTTGGTGACTGTGTACATTAGGTACTTCTTTGAAATGCTGCTTGTTTTCAGGCATTTAAATATAGTCTTATCCACTCCCATACAGTATTAGCCACTGAGCCAGTAGCCTCCTCCAACTCCATTTATGCAAAAGTAGCTCTGGTGG